TCGTTATAAAAGCATTAAAATAGAGCGTCGCGCGCATGAGTATAACATCGAAAATCGTGAACTTCGCAAGTCTATAACTTCAAAACTAATCATTTCCGAAAATTTATTTTTACACCTTCGTTCTAAACTCGTCAAAATACATAGGTTACAAAAAAAAACTCAAAATTTCGAGGGGGTGCTAAACTGGATTTGTTCCCGTTTAGTTAGGTAGGTAGGTATTCAATTTTTTTTATTCATGCTTCCTACTAACCGTTGAAAAAAGGTATATATTTATTAAAACGTACAAAATACTTACTACTTATTGACATTAAAAGCGTTGTAACGTATGCGGTATCTAGGTACCTACTATTATAGTAATAATAGTAGATAGTGGCTACCAGTACGTTAATGTTGCAGGTCGCAGACACTTCTTCAGATAATATAGTCGTGGTTGATGAATGAATAAAATAACAGTTGTTGTATAATTGTGAATTTTTATTATAACACTCGATAATTTTACTAAGTTCAAATATTGTTGTACAGAGTGGCGTGAATGTGCTTGCACTGATGGGTGGTAGTACACGTCTGAAAACAGGCCTATTCGGGCTCCCTTATATATGAAGTTCCCCTTGCCCCTCGCCTACAGATATACGGTATCTTCGTTCTCACGGATGTCATTTGTGTGGTCATCATTCTAGCCCACGCATTACGATTGAATGTATTACTAATTTATGATTAGTCATTTTACTCCAGTATTCCTGTCAAATATGACAACCGCCTATTTTGACCCTATTGCCCTTAATATCTGGTTATGCCGACCAGGGGCGTAGCGTGCATGTAAGCACTGTAAGCACTGCTTACACTTTAAATGAAAGAAAAAATAAATTTGATCAATCACGACTAATAGGTACATAATGAATGATTTTTAAAATTTTAATTTTATTTATAAAATATTTAAGTTATAGCTGGTAGTGGTTTTTGTTATTGTTTATTTGTGTAGTACGCTGTCTACTGATTACCAATTATTTTAAGAAAATCATCGATTGTAGGTCTATTTTTAATCCATTCTGTATTATGTTAACTGCATAATCATAATACGATTTACAGTGTAACACATTCTGAAATTGCTTACGCGCAACTGTTGTTTTCGAATAGTCTATAATGCCATAGTGGGGGTCAAGTATTTAACTAGCGTTTGAAAGCAGTAAGCACATTTGATTTTGCTTACGCGAGAAACAAGGAGCGACCAGTACGTAGCCCGACGCGTTGTAGACTGTAGTCGTTTTTACGTACACTGTCACTGTCATTCGCCTAATAGACTTTTGAAGTATACTTCAATTTCTTTATTTTCTCGAATTTGATTTGTACAACTAGTATATTTTTAAAAATATTAAACATTTTAAAAGGATAACATTTTTTTATACATAATTTATAATTAGGTATTTAGGTATAGTACCTATATTCTAATCACTTTTTAAAAAAAAAAATTCACCGCTTACATATTTTTAATACCCACGCCACGCCACTGATGCCGACCTATTATATATTATAATGACTATACACTCGTGACTTATGATTTGTTGTCATGTAGTAAATTGCTTACTACACTGTAAATGATTTAGCCGTTAGCTAATTTAATGCTGATTTGTTTTCTATGGCTGATATTTCTAAACGCGTGTGCAGAACGGCTTTGTGTTGATCGCCAAGTTTTGTCTTTTTCCCCTTAGAAACAATAGTCACGAGAACATGAATATCTGACAAGTTAGTATAATATAACAAATAACAACTAGGTACCTAATAAAGAAAAAAATGAAGCGGAATGTGGACACGGACAACAAAGGTGGACCACTTCCCCGGCGCCGTGAAGTAATTCTTAATAGACTTCGAATAGGTCACACATGGTTAACCCACAAACACCAAATGACCAAAAGTCCAAAACGAATCCCGAACCATGTCTCTCATGTGGCATAACACCTACAGTCAAGCACATCATATGCTCCTGTCTAGAACACAACGATGTTAGAGTCAACCTCAAACTAGCTGACAATCTTTATGACTCGGCCCGGATCCGGACAACATCCAAAAGATATTTACTTTTTTAAAACTAACTAAATTATATAATTTAATCTAAATACGCATTCACGCTCCAAACTTGAATTATATAACTCTCCCTCCGTTTTATCTTTTTATGTAAAATTTAATAACAGCCAATATTCTATGTTGTTGTAGCTCATTTAATAATAAAAAAAAAAAAAAAAAAAAAAAATAACAAATAACAACTAGGTACCTAGTAAAGAAAAAAATGAAGCGGAATGTGGACACGGACAACAAAGTTGGCTATCGCAACTCATAAGACGCAAAATACGCAAAATTCTCTTATGTTTACATTTTTAAAACCTAATACCTAACACCTAACCCTTGGAGCGACAAATTAAAGTTTATAAACGCATCTCCGCTTCGTAGAACATTTTACGTTATACAATATCAACTTACTATAGGTAGTTGGGTGAATGAAAAGTGGCCGCTGAAACGCGCGCTCCTGGTGGTGGCATATTTTGAAAAGTATTAAATATAGATACAATTACCTTATACAAATGTATTAGAATGATGTTAGATACGAGATTTAGAACCGCTGTTTTTGATAAAAAATATAGTATATTTCATACACCCATTTTTCTTTTACTTATTATTTTCTTTGGAATAGAAAATCAAAAAAGGTGGGCAAGTGGGTGTCAGTCTGCTGTACAGTAGGTTACAAGTGGGTCACTGTATAATGGATGATATTAAATTTGAATTCAACGATATAATATCATTGTATAAGAAAAACGATTCTGAGCGGAGACGGTATGTCAGTCTATGTATAAGACATATTATATACATATCTATGGTATTAAACAATAAATTGACCTATAATAGGTACCTATAATAAATTCCAAACTAATCATATCACAATATCCATTAGATACTTATAACGCGTTATACATCAACAAAAACCGTGATACTATCATAGATATATAATAGTACACTTTAGAAGTTTCAAGTACCCACGAATAATATTATTCAATCACAACAAAATAACTAAAATAGTTATTCTAGGTTTTTTAATATGTAATTTCGTCCAAATTTGAATTTAAAATGTCTGTAAAAAATAAGTGTGTTCATATATTTTTTAGATTTTTTGGCTATAGTATGAACTGTTTATGAGAACCTTTGTGTTGAATTTGTAATCCTTAGCTATAAAAACTGAACATTTTATAATTTATTAATTACAATGATTGATAATTTTCGAGATTTTGATAAATTTTGTCAAAATTTGATCTTTAAATGCTTATAAAAAAAAACTGTGCCTATGTATTTTTAATATTTTTCAACTGATATTGTAACAATATATCAGGAGCCTTGTATTACATTTTTACACTTTTTGGCCCAACAGATAAAACTTTATTGATATTTATAGAAAAAAAAAACTTAAAAAAATTGAAAGCTGTAAATGTCCATAAAGGCATAAACAGCTCAAAAAGAGTCAAAATATTTTCAAAATTGTATGCTGTATAGGAAATGCTAATATAAACATTACGTGAAATTTTCATGTATCTACAGTTATTCGTTTTTGAATTACAACAAAATATAAGGAAATCGCTACATGAGAAATCGAGTGAAAATCCAATGTTGTAAAAATTTGAATTTCAAACGCTCATAAAAATTTAATTTGACTTTCCAGTAGACATTTTTTTTATTGATAAAGGTAGACAAACTTATGAGTAATCTTGTATTACATTTTCAAATCTTAGATTTAAAAAGAAAAATTTTTACGAATTCTTAACTCAAAATAATTCGCTAATTTTCTTGATTTTTCCATATTTTTACAATTTTTGAACTTTAAATTCTTATAAAAAAAAATTGTGACTAATGATTTTTAATATTTTTCATCTGCCTTTGAAACAATATATTAGGAGCCTTCTATTAAATTTTCAAGCTTTTGCAACCAACAAATAAAATTTTATTGATATTTTTAGAAAAAAAACAAAAAAAAAAATGGAAAATGAAAATGTCCCTAAACAGTTAAAAATAAATCAAAATATTTTGAAAATGTTATCGTGTATAGAAAATGCAAATATAAACAACCAGTGAAAATTTCATGTATATACGTTCATTTGTTTTAGAGTTACACCAAAAACCAAAATCGATTTTTTGGAAAACCAATTTTGCGTAAAAATTCCCGTTTTTCCTTAATTTGTATGTTGTTTTACCCGGCACTTGTAAAAACTACTGGGAAATTTATACTTTTGACCCCCCAAAGTAACAACTAGATTCACTTTTCTATCAGAAAAGCTACTGATGAAGAAAATCCAAGCACTTTTACTGTCCTAAAACATGATGACAGACACAAAAAAAAAAAAAAAACACATCATTGTAAAACCAATACATTCATCGCTCCGCTCAGAATCTAAAATTCGTTAAAAAAAAATAATAACAAGACGCAGTTGTCGCTGCATCGATGCAGTCATGCAGAATGCTGCAGATGCAGACGGCAGACGACAGACCCCATAGTACTGTGTTATATTTGAAAAACGGTCGGTATTCGGTATCGTCGTGGAAGAATAAACGATACCTTTTGGTGAGAGAGGAAAAAAATTGTTGATGACGTAACGTAGTAACGGATATAGATACGATATCTGTATCCGTGGTAACGTCCCAACCACGCCATTTCAGTCATTTCATTTTACATACCCGACGGCGTTCCCTTTTTGTCGGTCGCGATAACGTAAACAAAACTATTTTAATTTTAATTTTAATTAATTTTAATTAATTTTATCCGCCTCCCGGCAAGGCAAACCCGCGTGCCATCAGCTCGCATCATTTCCGTCGATTGCACGCACCTCATCAGACCTCGCACTCCGGCTTCACATCACACCCATCGATCCATCGAGCATCGTGCGGCGGAGGCTACGACTATCACCACGACCACGGTTCCGGTACGACAATAATCACGGCACACATACCGCGCACGCCCCGAAACAATGGCAGACATTGACGGATTATTGAACATCGACAACATAATTTCCAGACTCTTGGAAGGTAAGCCGCCGGTGGGCCGTGACGGAAACGCGGTTCCGCCGTCCTCCTTTGGCAGTGCCGGCCCTAGGGGGGGGGGCAAGCGGTGCGACCGCAGTGCGGGGCCCCACGCATGGTGAGCTTGTGCGGGCTTGAATATCACTTTATCTATAAATAAACATAATAATATTGTCCTCGTAGCAGTAATACGGATATCGCGACCCTTGTTGTTTTCTTAGGAAACTGTTTGTTATCGACAAATACCAATTAGAATAAGTATGTGTACTATGTCTATATTTTAATATCTTACCTTGATTGAGGGGTGGAAATCCAAAACGTACTATTGCCAAAATTGGCAAAAACGAGTTAGATACCGATTCTTATAAAAAAAACGCCGACAAATCGATTGGTGTTGTCAGAATAGACCAAAACGTACTATTTCCAGGTCAAATCAGCTGTTAAAAATGACTGCTTAATCCAAAACGAACCTTTTTCGTGCATAAAAATTATATTTAGATAATCAAAACGTACTTTTTCCAGTTTTACGCCAAAACGTACTATTGCCAATGTTAAAATAATAGGCACCAACATTAACTATACCAAAACGAACTATTTTCGTAAATTATTCCAAAACGTACTTTTTTTTTATGTTATGTCAAAACGTACTACTGCCCGTATTGTAGGTATAGCGAAATGAAATAGTTAATCCAAAACGTACTAAAATATAATTTATAATTTATAATATTCATAATCATTAAGTTTGAAATTAAATTAAAAATATAATCCTAGATTATTAAACACATTTGAGTCGTTTTTAATAGAAATAATATATTATTAAATAATTTAAAAAATCTTCCTTGTCTTCAAAATTACTTTTTTATTTATAAACGGTTTGTTCATATTGAAACAATAAATAAGAAATTAATAATATTTTTATTTTGGAAAAAGCACATTTTGGAGTATATTTTAATATTTAATTAGGTTTTCCAAAATGAACTATTTCCATTAAATTTTCCAAAATGTACTATTTCCATTAAATTAATGGAAAAGGTATACGTTTTGGATTATTTTACATTTTTATATGACAAAAAAATATGTAGATGTAGAATCATTAAAGTCATTCTATCTAAATTTTAAAAACAATACTGATAGGTAATATTATTTTCACAGGCAATTTAAAAAAGTCCCTAAAAAATAAAATAAATGTGTATATTGTATAATAATTAATAAATTAACATATACAGCCATTGGCCATATGGGGCCCCGCGAAATTCTGCACCGGGCCCCGAAAACCATCGGGCCGGCACTGTCCTTTGGGCACCAATTTCGGTCGGTCCCAGCAGGGACCGATGACGATTCATTTGTAACAATTGTTGTAACTGTTCAACAGTGCGCGGTGCGAGACCTGGCACGAACGTTCAGCTGTCCGATGGTGAAATGATAGGCCTGTGCCTCAAGTCCATTGAGATCTTCCGATCGCAACCCATGCTATTGGAGCTCGATGCGCCGTTGAAAATATGTGGTGAGTACCTCAAACACCTCTGACTGGATGTCGTGTCAACTCGCCCGTTAGCCATGAATTCCGGAAATAAAATCCCCCGGAAAAAAAATCCCCCGACGAACAACCCCGGAAAAAAATCCCCGACCCTAGGAAAAAAAAACCCCATACTACAATATTACTCACAAACTCATGAAAATGGTTGAACAAATATTTTTTAAACGTTAATTAGTATCTATAATTAATATTTAATTACAAATACGTATATTATATTCTATTATAATATATATATATAACATAGGTATAATATATTATATTGTTAAAAAATTATATATTATAAATAATATTTTGTTTTAAATTACGATAATATATTATGTGTAATTCAAATTAAACAACTAACTTAACATTGTTACAAATAGGTGTAGAATATAAAAATATTTTGAATGATCGATACGTCAAATAATACAGTTAAACACATAGGTAGTATACAAAAATATTATACAAAATATAGGTAATAAAAATAATATAAATAAATAACTATAAATAATTTTTGAAAAATTAACAACAACATTTTATATTACTTTAATTCTGTAAAAATTAAATCCCTGAAATAAAATATTACGTTTTCAAATCTTCAAATATTACTTATGAGTGTTGTGTGAGTACTGTAGTGTACACAAAATAATATATAAAGTATAAAAATATTTCGAGTGATCGATACGTCAAAGAATACAGTTCAAAACATAGTAGGTATATAAAAATATTATAAAAAATGTACGCAATATTTTATTTCGGGGATTAAATTTTTACAGAATTATACCAACATAAAATATATAGGTACCTATATTTTGTATAATATGTTTGTATACTATGTTTTTGAAGTTATACTTCTTTACGCAGGGTAGTGAGGAAAAAAAAAGCGAACGGGCGGCCGTACGAACGCGAAAGCGTTATACATGTCCGTAAATAAATAAATATTGTCATGGTACCTAGTGTTGTTATATTATAATATATTATATATTATAATCGGGCCGCTTCAATATGACATAATAATAATATTACGTATTATAAAATATATAATGTTGGTCGGTGACAGCCACAGATATATATTTTATATATATTAGATATATATTGTTATTAAGTGATAAGTAGTTCCTATTTTAATATTTTAAATTTCAATGGTTACTTGGATTTTTGTACGTACTACGTACGACTGGATTTAGTAAAAATAGTAGCTATTTTTATTTTACCTAATGATTATAATTTACAATATAATATTACCGAAATAATAATCTCGAGTTCGAACTAGGTGTGCGAATTCGCCGTCGTCGTTGTTCGCCAATCCGTTCGGTCGACGGTCGTTCGGTTACGTCATATCGTAGCACACACACATGCACAGTGTTTGTTAATTCGTAGTTCGGTTATTATTAATAATAATAATAATAATAATAATATTTATTGTTACCAAATTAAAATGAATGTACAAAATATCTTATAAGCAATAAAAAATTAATTAATTGTTGGTTCTCTTTTCAAAAGCAAGCTTGTGCGAAAAGAGAGAGTAAGTGATCAAAATCTTAAGTGCGATTAAGAAAATGAAAGATAATACAAAAAATGAGAAAAAAAAAGAGAGAAATAATAATAACAATATACATAAGGATAATAATTACAGTAAGAAGTATATAATCAATAAAAAAATTAATATGCCGTATAAAATACGTTGTAAAAGGCATTATTGCAACAAAACATTATTTATATATTTTTATACATTTTAAAGCTGTTAAAATCATGAATATTAAAATTATGTTTAATACAAGATATTATGAACTTATATTTAGGGCTTTGTTGCCCAAACACTGTATTCATTTTAGGGACAATAACATTAGTATTAACCTTAAAGCGCGTATTATAATTGTGACACGGAACATCAATGCAAGTTTTGAAACTGTAAGACAATAGGCAAATGTTTTTTGTGTATAATGTTTTTAAATTTAATATCTCTAGCTCTTTATATAAATTAATTGTAGAATATAGTGAAGGTTTATTGAAAATAAATTTGAGTAATAAGTTTAAAGTGATTTCAAGGTTCCGAAAGTGAGTGTGATATGTTCCTCCCCAAAATGAAATTCCATAAGAAATAATAGATTGAATTAGTGCAAGGTATGTCAATTTTTTTAATTTGACGTTTAAAATAGATCTAAGAGATTTATATATGTAGAAAAATTTTCTTAACATATTATTTATATAATTTATGTGTACATCCCATTTTAAATTAGCATCAATATATATAACCCTAGGTATTTAATAGAGCTTACTCTATCTTATTCTCTACATTTACATACATTATTTTTATTATTCATGTTGATACAATTATTAGACTGAGCAATGATTTTATAATTATTTAAATCTGTAGATTTTCGTATGCCAAAGTGAATGTATTTAGTTTTTTCGTTGTTTATCTCTAGCGAATTATTATAATACCAGTTTTTGACAATATTAAAACTTTCCTCAGCAATCTCATATAAATTATTTATACACGGACTTTTTAATAAGATGACGGTGTCATCAGCAAAACAAATTATTTTACCAGGAGTATCTTGATGAAGAAGCCCATTAATGTATATTATAAATAACCAAGGTCCAAGTACGGTTCACAGATCCTCCTCTGCTGTCGGTTCAAACGAAAAAAAAAAAAAAAA